GCCTGCAGCTGGGCTCGGCCAGCACGGACGAGCTTTCCAGAACTCACAGGGCTCGCTCACAGGCACACGCACACGCGCAAGCAGGGCGCTGGCATGAATGGCGCTATTCATGGGCAGAGGGGCCCGCGCCGCCCCTGAAAGGCCCGTTGTTCGCGCGGCGTATCCCCCACGCTGCCATCCGTCTGTGCGGGGCCGGGCGCCGGGCCGAGGGCGCGCTGCGCTTGGGCTCCGACTCACTGTTCACCTCCCATGGCCACTTTTTTCTGGGAAATGATAGTAGCTTGAATACGGAGTTTTCCCGTCCCGTGAAAATAAACAGCGTAGTTCGCACACTTGCAGACAAGCTAAGAGCAGCAGCTAGAGCGGGGGCCTGACCGCGGAATTCCTCCTTCCTTCATTGAATACGTGGGTCCGAGACTCTTAAAACTGGGCCAGGTTTCTTCCTTGTGAAAATGCATTTGTTGTCAATATTTTGGAATTTTTGCAGAATGGGGAGAAATGTCATAGGCCATAGCACAATAATTCCACAACATGCCAATTTTTTCCCCTAAAAGACAATAAATGGGGTGTGACTTATCAAATGATTTTAAGACCTGAAGTAACATTTTAAAAGGGATTTTTACTTACATATTATGTAGGTGTTTTTTGAGTAGGTTTACTTTTTTTAAAAAAAAAAAAGGAAATGAAAGCTTTAGGCTGGAATATTTCCTCTAAATTTAACTTTGTTTTGTTTATCATTTTCTATTTCTCTGTCCACATTCTGACCGAGTATTAGTGAAGTAATAATCCAGGTTGTTGGGTTAAAAATTTAGAGCTCCAGTGGACGCATGGCTTTCCCTACCCACTGCAAGTACTTGCTCTGTACTTTCCCAAAGATCCTGTTTTAATGAGCATTTGCAATTGTTTCACCTACAAACATGCCGATTATTGATCTTTATGGACAATTATGATATTTTCAACAAATTTCATCACAATAATGCCACTGATCAAAACATGTTGATTTGCCAAATATTACTTGTTCTCAATGTTTAGAACTATGTCTTGAGACGTAAGGAATTTTCTCTGAGAAAACAAGGGGAAATTGGGTAATGATACAAAGAAATAAAAATGGACAGGGTGTTTTGAAACCACAAGCAAATTTGTATGATGAGAGTCCCTGATATATATGAACGTGGAATCCAGTTTCACACACTCTCTCACGCAGCCAAGAGACGTTTTATCCTGTTTTTCTACAACATAAATACAATCAATTCTTCAAAAAATATTTTGGTTAAGCTGGAATGTAAGAATAGAGGCTAAATTATTAGAAAAGTTTGCCAAATTCTGCCTCGTGGTAGGTATGAGCTGAATAGTTATGTAACATTTTCATTACTTAGCTAGTATTTCTGTTTTTAATATTTCACCTGATTTTGGAGTGATCCATTTGTTCCCAAAAGTTATCTGTTAAGCAGCAATGTTTCCTATGGAACACACGGCCGCGGGAGCCGCTGGCTCTGACTCATCCTGTGCCACGCAGCGGTGCCAGCCGGAGAGCTGGGCAGCCGTGGGCCAACGCGCACAGCACCTCGAAGACGGAGACACCAGCTCAGCGACGGGACCTCAAAGAGGCGCCTCCCGCGTCCGCTACGCTCTTAATTCTACTTATAATTTTGCATCTATGTAACGCACCCCCCCTTTTAAAGGGGAGCACATATTGCAACTTTCCCCTCCCAGACTCCTTGCCGTCTTTCAAGAGGATGTAAGACAGACAAGTTGTCTCTTTAATTCACGAGTCTTCGGAGGGAGAGAAGCTACGCCAAAGGCCTTTTTTGTTCACATATGGACCTGCTTTAGATGACAAGATCTTGGACTACAGGACGGAGCCTGATGCAATAATTGGTCGAGTCTCTGGCCATCCTGGGAGAGTGTATTTTGGTTGTGGGTTGATTGTGAGTTATTAGGGGCAAGAGGGTGAACTATGGAAAACTGTTCCTTTGATTGTACTCCAAAAAAAAAATCATACCCTCTGGTACTCACACTACCTTTAAATCTGGACCCTGTGACTTTTCTGTTGCTCCGACCAATAGAAGGCAGGGAGAGAGAGGCTGTACCAGTCTCGTGCCTGAAGCTCCGGCATGGTAGCCTTTCCTTTCCCACTCACCCCGAGTTTCCATGAGAGAAGTTCAGCCCCCCTTCTGGAGAAACAATGGGGACTGTGGAGAGGCCATGTGGAAAGGGAGAGGCCTTGAAACTGTATGGAGATGAACCGAGAAGCCCAGATGACAGCCAGTGCAGAGATCTCGGACTACTGGCCTTAAACGAAGCCGGCCAGCCCCAGCTTTTGAAGCTTTCCTAGCTGAAGTTAAGACTTGGGACTAGAGAAGCCATCTCGGATCGTCACATCTCGCGTTTATCCCACGGAGCAGACTCAGGCTTTCCCTGCTGTGCCATGTCTGAACTCCTGATCCCCAGAACTGTGTGAAAATAAGAGTTACTGTTTTAAGCCATTGCATTTTGGGGTAGTTTGTTACACGGCAATAGGTAACCAAAATAACTAGGAATTTTCCCCCTTTGTAATGAGAAGGAAGATAGTATGGTGCATCTCAAGTGCAACGTAATTAAGTAGTTCAACCTCAAGAGCCAACACTCCATTACGGCGTCATGACACTGTGGTTTTCGCATTGAGCTTCAGGTATTGCAGGGTAACTTCTGTGCCCATGTTTTCCTGTAATGTATTTTTAATATGCAATGTGATCAAGTGCATAAAATGTATTTCATTTTTAACAGAAGCATCTTAGCCAAAGAGAACAGAAAGCTTATTTTTCAGAAATCTGGTTCCACTCAGGGATTCCAACTTTCATTCTGCAAAGCCTTCTGGGAACACTTTTTCCTGGTATGCATTCCAGTAGTCGTCTTATTTCCTGTAGCTGTGTCAAAAGCAGCAACAGCAGCACGCAGGAATGGAGCAGGTTGCCTTATAATACACATACCATATGGCCGCAGAGTCTTCTCCCTCCGCTGGCTTGGACGTTACTGTGTGTGGTCAGGGTGCACGGGCCCTCTGATGACCATTCCTTGTGTGTGTCTGTGTATGCTAATGTACAGTAAATAACACAGATGAGACCTTTCTTCTCAAATCTTGTCTTTCCGATTTTCCTGTGCCTGTGATACCCTGACGGCGCTTGTTAAAATCCCTGTTTNCTCTTTCCGATTTTTCTGTGCCTGTGATACCCTGACGGCGCTTGTTAAAATCCCCCTTTGTGGCAGGACGGTGGCATTCCAGCCCTAAGGATCCGAGGAGCAGCCTTGGCCGGTGGGGCTACGGAGGGGCCCCAGGGGCTCCGGCAGAATGAAGCAAGCGGAACGGAGGCCGAGTGTGAGGCGGGGGGAAGGATCCACGACGGCTCTCGGGTTGCTGGCTCAGGCAGCTGCCATTTACCCAAATGGAAGGGCCAGTGGGAAACGTATGAGTTTCAGAAAAATCTATATTATTTTGTTGTTTACACTGACATTTGTCTGAAGAACTGATGTTTCATCTGAAGGTGTAAGCGAGGAACTAATTTCACCTCTAGTAGAAGAACCACCCAGAAAAATCCACGGTAGGAACTAGCCATTGACAGCCATATGCCTGTCAACTGTGTTCCGGCCTTAGAAGAAGAAAAAAAGACAAAAACAAAAATAAAAAAAACTTCTAGCACAAGGGCCCTGCTAGAGGGTCCCACGTAACAAACTACGCTTACCACAGCCTGCGTTTCTGGACGCACCTTTGCCTATAAAAGCCTGAGCGAAGAACAGCAGCGAGCGGGGTCTTAAAGAAGTTTTTGTAGCACAATGAAAAAGAGACATTATCCCAGCCATTAAACCATTACAAATAAACACATGCTTCTAAAAATTATAACATGTGGGAAATAAAAGTTATTCTAGAAAATAGTTATTTAGTCCATTGAAAAATAGCAAAGGAACGTGACTCCGTAAAAGAGCGACTGGATTCTTAAGGAAAGATTAACCTGAACAAGTAGGTAAAGTGGAATTGACAAGAACAATGCAATATTGAAAGAGAGGTTAAAATTAACAGCTAAGTTAAAGTCCACTCAGTAAATGAAAGAATGGGGTATTGACATGAAAACAGACACTCAGATCAACAGAACGGAGTCCAGAGATACAGCTGTTCATAGACGTGAACTACTGACAAAGGTGCCGCGGGGGTCGTCTCTCCCATCAGCATGTCCGCGCGGGAAAGAGGGAGACTGGGCCCTCATTTCACATCATACACAAAAGTCAACTGAAAATGAATTAAAGAGTTAAACGTAAGATCTGAAGCCACAACATTTTTAGAAGAGAACAGATGGGAAAAGCTCCTTGACTCTGGTCTTAGCAATAAATGTTTGGCTACCACACCAGAAGCACAGGCAAAAAAACCCCCAAAATAAACAAGTGGGACTATATCAAAGTAAAAAGCTATTCCAAAAAAACTGTTACAGCCATTATGGAAAACAGAATGAAGATTAATTAAAAATTAGAAACAGAACCACCATATGATACGGCAATCCCATTTCTGGGTATATATCCAAAGGTACACACACTCACACACCAGATTTCTCAGCCTTAAAAGAAGGAAATCTTGTCATTTGCGACAATATGGATGAACCTGGAGGGCATCATGCTACATAACATAAGCCGGAAAGAGAAATATAAATGCTGTATAGTATCACGTATATGTGGCATCTAAAAAATAGTCAAATTCACAGAAACAGAGTAGGAGAAAATGGAATATATTAGTCCAATGCACAGAATTTCAGTTAAAAGTTCTCAGGATCTAATGGTGATATGGTGGATAATTCTGTATTAACTTGGATTCTGCTAAGGGCAGGTCTTAAAAGTTCTCACACAAAAAAAGTTAAAAAAATATTTCTAAGTGAAATATTATTTAAGTCTAAGAATCAAAAGGACTAACTCCATGAGCCCAAGAAAAACAATGAACAAATGGTTCAAGATGAAGTGCGAGCACCGGGGGGGGGCAGTTACCTGTGAAAGGACAGAAGTGGGGCTGACCTCGGGGTTCTCTTCTGCGTAACCGAAAGCCAGGGGACAGCGCAGCAGTTTAATGAAGAGAGTGTGTGAGCTGAAAATCCCACATCAGTCACTGTGTTGTCCTGACACGAAAGCAACGAAAGACACTCCCAGTCTGCAAGGACTCGGAAGTCTTGCAGCCGAGCGGCGGGGGCCACGCCGGGGATACAAACATCCACCTGAACGGGCCCGGGGAGCGGCGGGGCCGCCATCCACGGCGGGTGAGCGCGGGGAGCTCGAACCCGGGCAATCTCGGGGAAAACGGGCCGCGGGCCCGCTGCGCCCAGGGGCCCCTCCGAGTCGGGGAGGGAAAAGCCGCCGCCGCAATTCAGACGGGGGCTCAGGAGAGCACCCCAGGGAGCAGGACCTGACCCACAGAGCGCGCCAGGCTCTGAAGTCTGAGACGAGTTTCTGGGAAGCCCCAAGGACCAGGCTGGGACAGGGCTTGTCCTGCTCCGGAAACGGTGAGAGGAGGTGACGGGGGACCGGGGGACAGGCAGAGAGAGTCCCTGCAGCGGTGAAAGGGCCGGGCCACACGCTGGGCAGTGGGATCCCGCAAGGGAGCGGGTCTCTCCCACGGGGCGGGACCTGGAGCGCAGGGCTGGCGCAGGGGGCGGGCTGGCCTCACTCAGCTTTGAGGAGCATGGGGGATCACATGGTCCTTCATGGGGGATCACATGGTCCTTCATGGGGGGATCACACGGTCCTTCATGGGGGATCACATGCTCCTTCATGGGGGGATCACACGGTCCTTCATGGGGGATCACATGCTCCTTCATGGGGGGATCACACGGTCCTTCATGGGGGATCACATGCTCCTTCATGGGGGGATCACACGGTCCTTCATGGGGGATCACATGCTCCTTCATGGGGGGATCACACGGTCCTTCATGGGGGATCACATGCTCCTTCATGGGGGGATCACACGGTCCTTCATGGGGGATCACATGCTCCTTCATGGGGGGATCACACGGTCCTTCATGGGGGATCACATGCTCCTTCATGGGGGGATCACACGGTCCTTCATGGGGGATCACATGCTCCTTCATGGGGGGATCACACGGTCCTTCATGGGGGATCACATGCTCCTTCATGGGGGGATCACACGGTCCTTCATGGGGGATCACATGCTCCTTCATGGGGGGATCACACGGTCCTTCATGGGGGATCACATGCTCCTTCATGGGGGGATCACACGGTCCTTCATGGGGGATCACATGCTCCTTCATGGGGGGATCACACGGTCCTTCATGGGGGATCACATGCTCCTTCATGGGGGGATCACACGGTCCTTCATGGGGGATCACATGCTCCTTCATGGGGGGATCACACGGTCCTTCATGGGGGATCACATGCTCCTTCATGGGGGGATCACACGGTCCTTCATGGGGGATCACATGCTCCTTCATGGGGGGATCACACGGTCCTTCATGGGGGATCACATGCTCCTTCATGGGGGGATCACACGGTCCTTCATGGGGGATCACATGCTCCTTCATGGGGGGATCACACGGTCCTTCATGGGGGATCACATGCTCCTTCATGGGGGGATCACACGGTCCTTCATGGGGGATCACATGCTCCTTCATGGGGGGATCACACGGTCCTTCATGGGGGATCACATGCTCCTTCATGGGGGGATCACACGGTCCTTCATGGGGGATCACATGCTCCTTCATGGGGGGATCACACGGTCCTTCATGGGGGATCACATGCTCCTTCATGGGGGGATCACACGGTCCTTCATGGGGGATCACATGCTCCTTCATGGGGGGATCACACGGTCCTTCATGGGGGATCACATGGTCCTTCATGGGGGGATCACATGGTCCTTCATGGGGGATCACATGGTCCTTCATGGGGGGATCACATGGTCCTTCATGGGGGGATCACATGCTCCTTAGCAGCTTTTCCCTGACTCGCGTCACTCAGTGTGATCTCCTCGAGGTCCATCTCTGTTGCCCCGAACGGCAGCATTTAATCTTTTCCTGCGGCTGAGTCGTGTCCCGCTGTCTACACAGGGTGCGGCCAGAGCAGGTTTACGGTCGCCGGTGTGGAAAACGCGGTAATAAGTGAGAACACAAGACTAGGCTCTGTCTCCCTTACTCAGAGCTGCACCCCTGCTTCGGCCCCACCGTGTAGGCACTGTACCCCCTTCGCCCATTTATCTACCCGGTTTCACTCATCGGGATATAAAACCCAAAGCAACAAATGAACATGCACAGACACAGACGACGGTGTGGGCGCTGCCCGCGGGAAGGAGGGCGGGGGGTAAAGGGTAACGGTCCGATGTGGCGACGGGAGAAGGCTCGACTTCGGGCGGTGGGCACACAGAGCGAGGCACAGACGACGTGTCATGACTTCACCCACCAGTGCCACCCACATGCATTCACCGTAAAGAGGGAAAGGAAAGGCTGGGCAGCGGGGTGGGGCTGCCGGGCACTGCGGGTGGGGACACGAGACGCTATGAAGTGGCCGCCGCGGGACGAGCGAGCCCGGGCTGCGTGCCCAGCGCGGTGACTGTCATCAATCCGCCGTGTCCCATGCACGAAAGCCGCTGGGGGAGCAGACGGCACACGCTGTCATCACGGAAGAGAAATGGCAGTTACGGGCGGGGGCCTTCGCCAGCCCGCTGTGCCCCTCACTCACAGCGGGCGAGTCCTGCACGATCGCCCACCGCCCCCCGCTCGCCCTGGTTTAACGCAGGCTCAGCTCCGAGCGGTGTCCCCCACGGGGACCTTGGGGAGCCGCAGTCCCCGGCCCGTGAGTGTTCAGACGACTGACTGCTGAGTTTTTACTTGAAGCACGGTCGGCGGCCACAGGACCCTTGGCCCAGGCCCTCCCTGGCCTGTCCGGGAAATAGCGCTGCACCGTCTCCTGACGCCGGACGCTGCACGGGAAACATGAAGTCTGGCTGCTCCGCTTTCGCCTCTTCCGTGCCTTGATAACTTGGCCCGACTTTGCAGAGGATTCTTTCGTGACTAAGGGCTGACGCCTTATCAAAACGCATCTTAGTCTCCATCCCTGTGGCGGGAGGTGCCCTGGCGAACGACGCGTCCCTCAAAGCTGCACCCCGGGCCTTCTTCTGTGACGGGGATGTTTTCTTGAATTACACGTTTCCACACTCTGTGCCACTATTTTGGCTTTCTTCTTAGGGAACTCCAATTATGTATATTTGATCTCCTTTGCCTTTCTCGTGTATCTAACTGCTCCCTTTAATCTTTTTTAGCTCCTCTGTATTTCCATTTTATTTTGATCACTTCTGTCATTCTACACTCGAGATCCCCCTCTGCACTGTCTTCCGCGTTTCTGCTGCCTTGTGCTCCTTCCAATTTCGTCGTTTTCAGCTTTTCTCGTCTCCTCTGCGCCCCCGTTTGCCAGCGCGCTTCCCTGCCTCCTGCTCCAGCGCCCATTTTCCTGCGCCCGTGTGTTGTCGCTCTGGGGTCTTCCTCCAGGGAAGTGGCTTCATTTCTCTGTAGTTCCAGCTCGTGATCACCTGTTTGGCCGGAACTTTCACCTGCTCTTTCGTGCTCTGGTTCTGCGGTGTCCCTTGGGGACACAGCCCTTGCTTCGTTTCCTCCCGGAGTCGGCGTGGCCCTGGCCCGGCCCCACCTGTGGGCGTCGCTGCGGGAGGAACGGGCCGTCTCCTGGGCTCCTGCGGGAGCCGCCTTTGGGGCACCGCTGCACCGGCTGCCCCAGGGCGCACCTCACTCTCCCTTCCCGCCTGTGCGTCTCCCCCGCGCTCTGGCCCGTGTGGCTGTCCCTCCCCGCTCTGTCCTCCCCAGGCCCCGCGCCTTGCTTCCCGTTGGTCTTTCCCCGTGGCTCCCGCCCCCCTGTTAGTGTCTTTCTCCTGAGTGTCGCCGCCCTACAGGCCCTTCAGGTGTAGGCCGATCTTAGTTGTTTTTAGCAGACTTCACACTTAAAAAAAAAAAAATCTACGGGGCATGTCTGCTTTCTAGTTTCAACATAAAATTGTAGAGTTGTTTCATTTGACTTGTTTTTATAAGATATCTTGGAGAAAAAACGGGAAATACTTCAAGCCCTCACTTACTAGAAGAATTCCGTTTTTACTTTTGAAATGCAATTGTTCATTAAAAAATACGCCTCTAAGTTGAGCAGCTTGTGATAAAATTTTCTTGCACTCTGTGAGCTCTCTTCATCTTCAGGACCGTTTCTTCCCTAATTTCTTCCTGATATTTTAGAAATCACCTTCTGCTCCATGGCCTGGGTTCTCCCTTCAGAGACACTATCCTTTATTGGGTCATCTCTTCTTGGACACTCTTACCTTTTTTATAGCATGCATGTATTGCACTTATCTCAACCCTGTCCTTCACACCAGTATTTTAATTTTCAGTATGTTTGATGCTGTGTCTTGCTATTTTTAATTCACTTATTCAGGTCATAATAATGTTATCTGTAGCCTCAATTCATTTCTTGACTTATGCAAGGGACGCTGTGATGCACCACCCAGATGGCCCCTTGGCGACCGAGGGGCTCGGCTGACAGGAGAGCTGGCTGACGATAGCTCACAACTAACTTTCTAAGCACAGCCTTGGGCCTAGGGGAGCTTTTTCAAACAAAGGTACATGCCTCCCTCCTCAAGAACAGTCCATGGCAAACGACTGGCCCATGGGAGCCACGCACCACCTCGACCTCCTCGCCACAGGTCAGAACTTCAAACGGCCATTCCGACTCCAGAACTCCCCGTAGGAGCGGCTGAGACCCCGAAGCCACCTCACTGCAGTCCAGCCGCTCCCTCCCCCAGTCCTGCTCTGCCTGTTCCCCAATGTACCACGTCCCTAAGAGGATCTGCGGCAGGCTCCAGGGGACCACCCATCCTTTATGCTCTTCCAACCTGGGCGACACCCTCGCCGGTGGTAAGTGGACAACCTCCGGCTCCTCATATGCTGAACTGGTGTCACTGTTAAAGTGCGGAGGGCGCTGGACTGGGAGGGGACGCAGATGAAGGGGCGGCCGCAGCAGTTCGGGGTCCCGGGGTCTGGGCGGGGCAGTGGAGCAGCATGTACAGGGCTAGAGAGCAGGTGAGTATCGCCGGGCGGCATCGATGCCCAAGGGAGAGACGACAAAAGGCTCGCGGCTGTGAGCCGCCAGTTGAAGGCAAAGTGCGACTCGAGAGCCCTGTTGGCATCATATGAAGAGTCTCTTATTTACTGTCATCAAATGCAAAAAAAAAAAAAAAAAAAAAAAAAAAAAAAAAAAAAAAAAAAAAAAAAAAAAAAC